TTGTCACGCCCCAAACCCGCCCCTAAAAGTTTGGGCATGACCACTTCAGAAACGGACACTTAACCTGTTATATATGACATATGGGGCCTAAATGGAAGCATAAATTTTTATATAATAACATGCAAGAAAAGAGCTACATCCATTGAGCGACCACTATCATGCCAGGATCACAAACAAACAGATAATAATAGTTACACACACATATACAACCCCGCCCGTGTTTGGGCATATAACAAAAACATTAGAATTTACAACATATTATGGACAATCAGAATGTAAGCTAAAACTTCACAAAATGAGTAAGCTTCACCCAAATGCTTGGATACACAGGGGCTAACAAAGGGAGACGAGCATTAAGAGTTGTGGCTGACCTCCAAACGCAGGACCTACGGAATCAGACGAAATACAGAGTGAGATAACCTCAGTGAATAATAGTACTTGAATAATTCAATGTTCAACTTGCATAATAATGCAAATCAGAGCGTATATAATATAAAAGACAGGTAGTTAATCTGATTCTGTACTAATGTCACAACGGCTTTGGATCCGGCCTTTAAAACAAAGTGGCTTTATTTCCAAAGATTTCACAAATTGGCCCTTGGCCTAATAGGTTCACAAGTTCACAGATTGGCCCTCGGCCTCATAAGTTCACAATATCACAGATTGGCCCTCAGCTTCATAGGTTCACAATATCACAAATATTCATAATTTCACAAATTAGCCCTTAAACAGAACGACATTAAGCCCAGAATGGCATATAGCCCTTTCATGTACGCATGAACTCAAGAGGTGGCTTGCACGGATTCTAGAGGTGGCTCCCACCAAAGTGTAGCACTTAGCTCCGTACAGCACTTTGTTTCATGCTAACAGATCAGACAAAATGGCCAAAGGCCTCATAACTTTCACATAACGGCCATAGGCCTCATAACTTTCACAGAATGGCCATAGGCCTCATAACTTTCACATCGGCTTTAAGCCCAGTTACATATGTATGGACTCAAGAGGTGGCTCGTACGAATTCTAGAGGTGGCTCCCACCAAAGTGTAGCACTTAGTTCCGTACAGCACTTTGCTCCATATCAGAAATACATAATGGCCTCTGGCCTAATAGTTCATAAAGAAGCACATAGTTCCTTCTAATTATTCACATGAGTTAACATAGTTACGTTACATTCAACAGAGTGCTAATAGCAGCTATTAACGGGTTGGACTTCATAAATAGCAATGGATAACATTAATGAGGATCAAAGGCGAATGTACCATTAATAGAGGCATATATGTCATTCCATTACATTTAATAAGGATAGACCAATTTACATTCTAATGCGGTCACATCGTAACATTAAACCTTTGCATACATGCCATAGGATCTGAACGATCTAGGTTTCATAGGTGACATGTTCGTTATTGACAGAATAGAATGATTGCAAAGTCATACCGATATGTGCCAATCCTTCAACATTCACATTGATTTCCAATCGTCATAACTATGCGTGTAACACTTACGAGGAACAGAGTGTTAGTGACAATAATTACCAATGGTAGATAAAATATACATTTCCGTACTATTACTCACAGTGTTGTGATGACGTGTTACTTCCTCCCGGAGTGTGTCCTGCACACACGCAAAACTTGCACATTAGTTCTCTTTTCTTTCTTAAATCATTTCCTGAATCATTACACTTTTCACGAATTTACAACCCTCTTAAAATCATCAGAAAATATTCTAAAAATACCAGTGAGTCAAGCACGCAAAACTAAGCGAACCACTTTTCCAGCCCGGGCCGCACGTGCGGCCGGACCCTCCGCTCGAGCGGCCAAGCACCGCACGTGCGGTCATCCCCCTCTGCTCGAGCGGCCGTAGACAGTAGGCATTTCCAGGTTTTTCTTCTTTCTCCGCTCGAGCGCCCAAGGCCTCCGCTTGAGCGGCCATGGCCCTGTTTTGGGGCAGCTCGGTTTCAACTCAATTTTAAGCATCATCACTTCATTTCTCATGCAACCCAAGATGAAATTAAGGCAATACTTGAACCCAACTTCACTATAACAAAATTTATCATTGAAATATCAAAAGTTAACATGATTAAAAGCTTGATCAACTCACTATTCTTCCAAATTTCATCCTTTAAGTTAACTTCCTTTTGTTCATAAAACATAACACATTATGGCATAAAAACCAAGGATTGAAGTATAAATTGCACCATAGCATGTACTAGAACTTGAGCATCATAAAATACACATGAATAGAAGCTTATTCCAGTTACAAACCGTCTAAATTCTATCTTTAATTCAAGTTCCTCATGTTTATCAAAACATCATACCTTAAATATAGTTTCATGGGTTTAACATGAGAAACAAAGAATGAGGTATAAATTTCATGTCAAAGCAACCAATTGATGAGTATCCTCTTCAATCAAACATAAATTATGAACAATTCTCCATTACAACCCTAAATCATCAAACATGAATCATAAACAAATCCTTCTTCACAAGGGATATGGGTCTAGTGCAGCTGATCTCATCGCATCGAACAGTCCATAGAGTGGTTGTATTGGGAACACTATGTGCCCTAGAACTTCGAGCGGAAGGCTCTAACATTGGGTATTATCTCGTAACTTCTACTTTGTGACATTTTCAAATATTATGTTCTAGGAAATATTCTCATGGGTTACTGGTTGACACCCTAGCTTCCAGCGATTTTGACAAATTTTTGTGGAGGGTCTGTTGTAAAAATTGTTAACATGAAAGACATGTTCTTCCAGTGATTGTAAAAATTGTGAACATGAAAGACAGGTTCTTCTTGGTTGTGTTACTATTGAATAATGTGTTTCGGAAATATTGGGATGGTTATAATCCTATGTTTCTCTGGCTATGAAAGTACAAATACTTCTAGAAGGGAGTCATATCTGTATTGTATCTGTATTGGATACTGATATGTATCAGATGCTTCCTAAAACATATCCGATACTTGAAATTAATTTTCTTTAATTTTGAGAAATATCAAATATAGGTCATGTATCAGAACTACTATGAAATTGATATTGTAATTATTCTTGCATAGTTGTAGTCTGTAGAGTATAATTATTAGTTTAAATAGAAAAATAGTTTTACAATACTTAGCTTACTTCTTAGAGAACAATAAAATATCATGATACTATAGTCCGATTCCAACAATGAATCAAAACTAGTAAACTTGCGTACTACATTTTAGCATATTACACTTTTAGGTGTGAAAAGTTAAAGGACAATGTAAACAATTTAAACTTGATATTAAAATGAAATTTTTATAGGACCTGCTAAAAACATAATAAAAAAGTGTTTGTTTGAGAGAGAAAAACTTAGAGAATGATTAGACATCATCCCTTTTTATATTAATAATAGGTAACTTACAATGGAAGCCCTGGAAGCATAAATAAGGAAATAACATAACAAGGAAATAACAGCTAATAGAATAATCAATACACAATAACCAAAGATATTATTCTAACACTCCACCTTGAACTGGTGCGAAGATGTCTTTCATACCCAGCTTGCCAAGCACATCATGGAATGGTTTGCTTCCAATTCGCTGGGTGAGAATGTCTGCTAGTTGTTCACCAGACTTCACAAAAGGAGTACATATAGTGCCACAGGTGAGTTTCTCCGTAATGAAGTGGTGATCAATCTCCACATGTTTCGTTCGGTTACGCTGAACTGGATTGTGAGTTATGTTAATAGCAGCCTTATTGTCATAGTACAATCGCATGGAATCAGTATGACTAATTCCCAGATCACTTAGCAGCAACTTGATCCACAATAGTTTACATATATCTTGTGTCATGGCTCTATACTCGGCCTTTGCACTAGATCGGGCGATTACATTCTGTTTCTTACACTTTCAAGTAACCAAATTACCTCAACAAAGGTATAATGACCAAATGTGGACCTTCTATCAGCTACTGATTCTACCCAATCAACAACTGTATAAGCTCTCACCCAAAGATGAGCGACCCTTTCCTAGAGAAGATTTTAAGTATATAAGGATGCGCATTACTGCAACCAAGTGTCTCACGAGGAGCATGCATGAACTGGCTAACCACACTAACTGCCATGACAATGTCAAGACGAGAATGAGATAAATAAATGAGCTTATCCACTAGTCTTGGATAACTCCCCCTTATCAACAATAGCTCCCCCACTATCATTATTAAGTTTCTGATTTAGCTCTAGTGGTGTATCATAAGCTTTACTCCCAAGCATCCTGGTTTCTTTCAACAGGTCAAGAACATATTTTCTCTGACAGAAGAAAATTCCATCCTTGGACCAAGTAACCTCAATACCTAAGAAATACTTCAGATTTTCCAAGTCTTTTATTTCAAACTTGCTTGCCAAATATTTCATCAACTGGGGTATTTTACGTCGTCTACATAAACAACGAGAGCAGTAGTCTTACTATGTGAGAAATGCTTCACAAACAAAGTGTGATCAGCCTGACTTTGTTTGAAGCCATATCGGAATATAGTCTGAGTGAATCTCTCAAACCAAGCCTTTGGAGACTGTTTGAGACCATATCATGTCTTCCAAAGCCTACATACTTTACCGTTTATCTGATGGTCCTCAAAGCCAAGGGAAATGTGTTGGAATTGGGAAATAGTGATATTATAATTATGGTAGTGTTGGAATTAGAAAATAGTGATATTGTAATTATGGTAGTGTGTATAAAATCTGTGATTATGTCAATCACAGGTTTAATGTCTTTTTTATCTTCGTTTCCTATTTTGTAAAATTGTTTCATTATAAATATAAGGCTTTTCCTCATTCATAGGTAAACCAAAACAATTCTTTTCATCCTTTTTGATATCAGAGCCAAAACACAGAAACCCTAGACCACCCCCTCCTCCTTGTCAGCCCCTGTTCTTCACTGCCCAGCAGTTTCTTCTTTTTCTTTCTTCTTCCTCCAATAGCCGACAGACCACCTCTCTCCTCTAGACCACCCAACAGCCTAACCCACCACACCTAGACCATCCGAAACCACTTAGGCACCCTCTTATACCCCTTGGCAGGACTATATTACACCTGCCGAGGGCCTTGCTGCTGCCGACTATGTCTCATCTTGGCTTAGAGTACTTCGACACCCTCTTTAGGGTGGGCTGAACCCTTTTTCTCTCTTTTATAGGGTATAGTGCTGATGCTTTAAACACTTTTCTGGAACACTTTTTGCCTTTTTTTTTTTTTTTTTCTTTTTGGGCTACCAGGTTTATTCGGTAGCATTTAGCCATTGAGTTTTTTTCGGCTTTTCTGATTGTTTACTCGGACTGTGTTGCTATATTGCTGTTTATTTCGGCCCTCATCATCTCTCCATGGATAACTCATTTTATACCATTCCTATTGAGGTATCTACTGCGGTCTCCACCAAACCTGTGCCTGTTCCAAGTACTGATTTTTCTCTTTCGCATCACATTCCTATTTATCGTATTACAAGTGTGGTGTTGAATGGGAAAAATTTTGATGCTTGGAGCCGTTTCCTTAAACGCTATCTTAGGGAAAGGGGAGAGGCTCATTGGCTTTTATCTACTATTACTCTGCTAGCTGCGACATACCTTACACGTGCTCAGTAAGATACTGATAACTGCACTATATTGGGATGGATGTTCAATTCCATGGAAGATCGAATTTATCATATGTTCCTTTATTGCGATATAGTTCCAAGTTTGTGGCAGGCATTGTCACATATGTACGCTCATGCTCACAATGATGCACGTATCTTCGAGCTTTACCAGATATAGCCTAGGCCTCTTAGTCCTCTCTTAGCCTTTCTATAGCTGAATTCTTTGGATATTTTCAAGCTCGTTGGGAGAAACTTGCTCAATATGAGCCTTTAACTGACCTTCCACCAAAAGCCAACTCTCTTGTGTCCAAGAGGCTTGCCCGACAATTATCAGTTTCTCATGGGTTTAAACTCTGAATTTGAATCTCTTCGAATTCAAATTCTAAACACATCACCTATGCCATCTCTTTGAGGCTTTTGCCACTATTGACAGTGATGAACGTCGCCAGCAATTGGTTCAACCAAGTGTTCCTTCAGTCCCTCTAGTTTTAGCAGATCAGATGGCTCTTGTTGCGAGTTCTGGTTCTCGGAGTTCCACCGGTTCTGTTACTTGTCATCATTGTGGTGCGTCTGGACATGTCAAAGCCCATTGCTTCAAACTTCATCCTAAGTTGAGGCAACGCCCTTCCTGTCCTCGTGGTCCTGCTCCACGTGATTCTGGCTCTGCTTGCACTGCTGCGTTAGTGGACGTTACTCCTGCTTGTGAGCCTCCTAATGTCCCTAATTTACAGCAATTACAAACTCAGATTGGTCAGCTTCGGGCTCAACTTGGGCCCCTCACCATTGGTTCTCTTGGTCCATCATCCTCTATTGCCACTCTTGCTACAAGTACTTGTACTGCTTTCCATGTTTGGTCTGCTAGTCCTTCACGGATTCTGGATTTTGGGGGTAATGATCATATGACTGGTGAGTTTTCTTTTCTTTCCTCTCCTGAACCCACCACTGCTGCTCAATCTGTGTGTCTTGTTGATGGTTCTTACTCTTTTGTCCAACATAAGGGTGTTGTGTCTTTATCCCCTGATATCACTTTATCTTCTGTGTTGCATGGTCCCAAGTTTGCTTATAATCTCTTATCTGTTAGTCGTCTTGCCAAAACCTTTAACTGTGCTGTCATCTTCTTACTTTCTTCGTGTCTTTCATAAGACCTAAGTTCAAAGAGGATTTTTGGCAGGGGATATGAGCGCGACGGGTTATATTACTTTGGGGATCCACCGGACCAGCCTTCTTCGACTTTAGCTAGTTTTTAGGCATCTGTTTTGCCTCCTTCTATATCTTATGTTTTTCTGTTCAAACTTTAGAGTTACGACATGCCCGTATGGGTCATGTTAACTTTCAATATTTATGTCAACTTTTTCCGTTATTAAATAAAGCTTGCAAGGATTCTAAATTTCATTGTGTTACTTGTGAGTTGTCTAAACATATCCGTACTAGTTATATACCACATATGACATGGGGCCCTAGTGCTTTTGACCTTATTCATTCTGATGATTGGGGTCCCTTTCCTATTCTTGCTTTTTCGGGTCATCGTTATTATATGACTTTTATTGATGATCACACTACGTGTACTTGGGTCTATTTACTTCCCCGCAAGTCTGATGTGTTTCCCATCTTCGTTTAGTTTTTGCAAATGGTTAAGACATAATTTCGTACAGTTGTTAGGAACATCCGCTCTAATAATGGTTAGGGAATACTTCTCCAACGAGTTTCGTTCCCACCTTAATCGAACAGGTATTCTTCAACAACTTACATGTCTTCGGACCCCTAAACAAAATGGTGTAGTTGAACGTAAAAATCATCATATTATGTCTGTCGTACGTTGTCTTCTTCGTGGTATGCGTGTGCTCGAGTCTCATTGGCACATGGTTATTTTTACTGCTGTCTATCTCATTAATAGGACTCCTAGTCGTGTGTTACATGGCCTTATCCTATTCCATATTCTTATTTTACCTCGTGTTTTGGGGTGTATATGTTTTGTTCAGGACCGGCGTCCCACTCGCACTAAGTTAGATGACAA